GATGGTGGCAAAGTCTTTAAGACAATAAACAGGATGGGGAATGGGAGATGTTTGAGGCGGGACTCCACTTTAGACAGAATAGCCTGGGAGGGCCTCTCTTAGGATGCACATTTTCTTACGAGAATGTGAAGGATGAGAAGAAGGTAGCCATACAAGTACCAATGGCTAACTTCAGTATTTATTATTATTATTAATTATTAAAACATAATATGAACATTTATGGGGTAATTTATCATGTGACAGGCACCATCCAATACCTTTGTGTGAATTATTTCATTTAATCCTTTCAAAATCCTATTAGGATGTGCCCCATAAATAAGTCCCATTCCATTGTACAGATAGATGTTAGTTCAGAAGCAAAAAAAGGTAAAATTTTATCTAAAACATTGTGAATAATTTATGCAAATAATGCTTTTAATAAGGGCTACACTAGAAAGTTCATTCCAATAAGCACTTAACTTGAGTAACTGCTACCCAGGTTCTTGTTTTAGAGCTGGGTACCTTTGTGTCTCTAGGATAATCTTCCTGCATTTAAGCATTCATATGCTGTGAACAGAGCTTTACCTATTTTATTTACTGTCTTGGTTAGGAATGCATTCAGCTGCAGATAACAGAACCTTGACCCAGAGGGACACAGACATCTCACTCACCAAGAATTCTGGAGGTAGGTGGCTCTGGTGTTATTTCAGCAGCCCATCAATGGCGGGGCTGATGCCTTCATAATACTCCTGGCTTCTCTTTCATGGTTGCAAGATGGTATCACATCATAGCTGAAGGCAGAAGAAAGAGGAAGGAGATAGCCCAGCCAAATCTCCCTTGTCAGTCTTTCTTCATGGCCCTTCTATGCACTGTCACCATGTGAAATACACACAGATACCTAGAGAGCTAGATAAATAGCTGGACAGCTAGCTAGACAGATACACAGATGAGTATCTTTTCAGTAACACTATCACACTCGCGCGCACACACACACACACACACACACACACACGAGCGCGCGTGGATTTATAACTTCCTGTTGCATGCACCTTGATGGAACCTCTGAGAAAACATACCCAGCACTTGTAGTTTTAAGGATTAGAGTAGACTGGGGGAGGGGGAACTTTTCAAATGATAATAGGGTAATTTGCACAATTCTATATAAATAAAATTTGAACACCTACATAAAATAGATAATCTTCCAGAAAAATACCATTTACCAAAATTGACCCCCGTGAAGAAAAAATCTAAGCAGACCAGTAACCATAGGAAAAAATACAGAGCACAGTGATAGAACTCCATAACCAAAAGGCTCTAGACTCTTGTTGGAATGGAAAACTAATGATGAGAAGAAAATATGAGGAGGTTTCTGGGTGCTAGTAAATGTCTATTTCTTTTTCTTTTTCTTTTCTTTTTTTTTTTTTTTTGAGACAGAGTCTCACTTTGTTGCCTGGGCTAAAGTGCCGTGGCATCAGCCTAGCTCACAGTAACCTCAAACTGCTGGGCTCGGGCAATCCTTCTGCCTTAGCCTCCCGAGTAGCTGGGACTACAGGCATGTGCCACCATGCCCGGATAATTTTTTCTATATATTTTTAGTTGGCCCATTAATTTCTTTCTATTTTTAGTATAGACACCATCTTTAGTTAGAGACGAGGTCTCTCTCTTACTCAGGCTGGTTTCGAATTCCTGACCTTGAACCATCTGCCCACCTTGGCCTCCCAGAGTGCTAGGATTATAGGTGTGAGCCACCGCACCCAGCCAAATTTCTATTTCTTAATCTAAATTCTGATCCAAATTTCTATTTCTTGATCTAAATTCCATTTGAGAAAATTCATTAAGCTGTACACTTAGGATTTCTCACTTTTCAGTAAATGTATTACATTTTCAATTTTTGTTTTAAATGAAGAAAAGAAAAAAGGCACCAGACCCAGGTGGTTTCACAGGAGAATTCTACTAAACCTTTAAAGGTTGGATAATCCCAGCCAGGCATGGTGGCTCATGCCTGTAATCCCAGCACTTTGGGAGGCCAAGGAAGAAGAGGCCAGGAGTTTGAGAAGAGCTTGGGCAACATAGTGAGATCCCCATCTCTACAAAAAATAAACAAAATTAACTGGGCCTGGTGACACATACCTTAGTCCCAGCTACTTGGGAGGCTCAGGTGGGAGGATTGCTTGAGCCCAGGAGTTCAAGGTTGCAGTGAGCCATGATCATGCTACTGCATTTCACCGTGGGCAGCATAGTGAGACCCCATCTCTAAAAACAAAACAAAACAATAGTTGATTAATGCCAATGCTATTTAAATTATTCCAGGGCATAGTAAAAGGAGAATTTTTAAATTATTTTTATAAAGCAAGTATAACATTTATTCTAAAACATGCCAAAGATTGCAACCCAAAATAAAATTACAGACTAATCTTACTTATGAATATCAGCGTAAATATCTTAAAATGAAAGCAAACAGAATCTAATATTATATTTAAAAAAAAAAACCACATCATGGCTAAGTAAAATTTAGTCTAGGAATTCAAGGTTGGTTCAATATTAGCAAATACAATAATATTTGCCAAAATTTAATAAGAATTCATATTTTAGAAATTGATTAAAATAGTACTTAATGGATAATTTCAAATATGACTATATATTCCATAAATCTATATATACTGTACATAGTACAGTATATATCTAAAATCTCCAAAAGACAACATTTTAATGAATGGTGAACTTCTAAAAGCTTTTCCACTAATGTCAAGAACAAGAAACAAGACAGACAAGGATGCCTCATATCAACATACTCTTTATCATTATATTGGATGTATATGCCAATTCAATTAGACAAACTAAAGCAATTAGAGGCCTGAGAATTGGAGAGGAAGAAGTAAAACTATCTTTTATTGCAGAAGATATAATTAAATATTATAACTACCCCCAAAAATCCACAGGAAAATAATTACCAAAATATGAGAGGATTTAGTAAAGAACTGGTTCTGAGATCAACATGCAGAAAATCAATAGCATGTGCAAGGTAAAACCATAAAGCTTTGATAAGAAAATGCAGGAGATTGCTGCTAGGATAGGGCCCCACATGTTGCCTTTGGTCAACATGTCTCTTAAATCTGGTTTAATTTGTGAGTTACCCATCTCTTTTTCCTCCCCTTTACAATTTAGTTGTTGAAGAAACTGGGCTTTAGTCCTCTGGAGTCTTTCATACTCTAGATGTTGCTGATTGCATCCCCATAGTACAGATCTTCTGATTGAACCAACTATTTAAAAAAGTATTTTCAGGGAAATTTGAACAATAGGGTTAACTTTTTTTTATATGTCATAGGAGTATAATTTTTTAAAGAGTTATCTTTTAAATGTTCACATTGAAACAAAATATTATAATATGATTTTCCAAAGTAATCCAATGAGGTGGGCATGGGGTGGGGGTGTGCTGTTTAACAATAGACTCTCCCTGGGGGATGGGAGGAGCCTTAATTTGTAGTGTTTGCCAATTTCCGTGGTGTGAATACTCCCATCGTGATTGATTTCAAACTCTCAGCAGTATGTCATTGAATGTGGAGTTGGGAAGAGACGTGCACAATCAGCTTTTGTCAGGCAGTGCAATTTGGCCCCAGGATGTCACTGATGGCGGTGGAATTAAGATAAGGTTGGAAACGAATTGATTCTTGTTGAAACAGAACGAGTATATGGGGATTTGTTACACTATGTTTATTTTCTATATGTTTGGTGTTTTAATACATTTAAAAACAAGGAAAAGAGAAAAATCCTAAATTTCAAGATTAAAATTTTTAAACTGTACAATGTTAAGGGTGGTGGCCATTGCAAATAATTATGAAAAGGAATTAAGTATAGTCATATCAATGATCCATGAGAAACTAAAATGCTGATAATAGTAAGAACACCTGTGTTATTTAGAGCCTACTACCTACCTGGCCCTGGTGAGCGTGCTTCACAGCGGATAACTCAAGGTGCCCTTATTATTCTTGTTGTACAGATGAGGAAACCAAGGAGTAGGAAGTTGAGCAACTTCCTTGGTTTAAGATCACATAGCCAGTAGGTGGCAGACTCTGGATTCAAAGCCAGGTAGTCAGACTACAGAGCCTGCAATTTTAAACTCCAATCCAAGTCAGGAGCGGTGGCTCATGCCTGTAATCCTAGCACTCTGGGAGGCTGAGGCGGGTGGATCACTCAAGGTCAGGAGTTCCAAACCAGCCTGAGCAAGAGCAAGACCCCGTCTCTACTAAAAATAGAAAGAAATTAATTGGCCAACTAAAATATATAGAAAAAATCAGCTGGGCATGGTGGCACATGCCTGTAGTCCCGGCTACTTGGGAGGCTGAGGCAGGTAGGATTGCTTGAGCCCAGGAGTTTGAGGTTGCTGTGAGCTAGGCTGACGCCATGGCACTCTAGCCTGGGCAACAGAGTGAGACTGTGTCTCAAAAAAATAAAAAAATAAAAAAAACCCTCTAATCCAAGCAGTTGATTCAAAAAATATCCATAATTCAAAGATTGGAAAGAAATTCAGTGATGTTGCCAAGTGATAGATAATCCTGTTTAGGAGATCCTTCTACTCAACCACAAATTTGTTGAGTGCCTCCTTTGGGCCAGTGCTAACCAAGACGCTGATGCCCAGGATAGATTTGGCTCCATCCTAGGAGAGCGCTCCTATACTGTGAAGCAAATCATGTTTCCGAAATGGGATTTCACCTTTATGGGGCTTGGTGAGGCAGGGGAAAGGAGGATGATTCATATAAGTTTCCAGGATTGTCTTTTATTGCCATGATGTTCTGGTCATTTCTTTGCATACAGCTGTTAGGAGTAATTTTTCTATATTTTAAGAACAAATGTTTTCACCTTTTGTCACAGCACAGATTATTTTACCCATGCAACAAGTATTCATTGGGCACTCACTATCCACCATGCCCTGTGCTAGGTGATACAGCGAAAAACATTCTCATTCTAGAGGGAGAATTGAGATAACACCATGGTAACCAAATAGATAATCAAGATAATTCAGAGTGTCACAAGGTCTCCCTAAAGCAAGCTCATTGTGTTGGTGTGGGGAGTCATTGCTTCGGAAGGTGTGGGTAAGAAGACCTCTTCCAGGAGGTAACGTTTGAACTGAGACTCGAACGGCTGGCAGAGGGCAAAAATCCCTATGGATTTATCCACCGTGAAAAGCTTCAGGAAAAACATTCCCAACACTACCAAATCCCAGATGCCTTTGTAGCTGATGTCCATTTGATCTTCAAGAACTGTGAAAGGTTTCGTGCGGTATGTTAGCTTCCAACCTATAGAGTTTATTAGTTTTTGTTTGCTTGTTTTGGGGGCAGCAGCTTGAGGCGGTGGGCACCCCCATGAGGAAGGCCCTGGGTGTACACCACGTACTTCGAGCACGCATTTTAAGATACAAATACATCTTTGTGATTAAGGACTTCTAGGTCTCGCTGCCTAGAGATCCTGGCATCTCAGATTCCTCCCTTTCCAAAGCTGGCAACACACGTTTTCCTGGGAGGGGGCAGGACTTGGAGTTGGACGTAGAAGAGGATGCATGTGGGTGGGGCTCAGATGTCAGAGTCTGGGATAGAAGGTGCTGCTGTCCCTGCAGAGCCCAGAGCAGTGCCTGGTACAAAGTCAATGCTCGGGAAGAGTTGTGCAGAGCCAACTGGGGAAACAGGAGGGCTGCTCAATAACTTTTCTCTTGAAATTGATGGACTCCCCAATGCGGCTCTTGTAAAAGTGGGTGGGTGAGTCTGGGACCCTCTGACCCCACCCACCTGCAGTGCTCCTCACAGACACTCTTTGCTACTGCAGAGGTGAAGTTCAAGTGTGAGAATTGAGATCAGCCATGAGAAAGAGGGGTCTGTGAAGCAGAGACAAGAACTGGTTCTTCTCTTTTTCCAAAAGAAGAGAAATAATTAGAGAAAAAAAAGTATTGTGAGCCTGATCCCGAGGGTCAGAGTGCCTCAAAGGAAATAAAGAGTTTCCTTTAAGTTGGGCTTCAGGGAAGAAGGACTTTGAGAAATGGAAAATTGTACGCAGGGTGGGGATTACCAAACAGCCCCTGGAGCAAAGGTTAAGAATGCTTTTGTGTTTTCTTATCATTTATTCCCTGATTGTCTAGCACTTGCGTTAGAGTTTTATAGATCATTAGCAAACCGGATCCTTGTAAAATGGTGGTAGCTGGCCAGTAAGGACATTCTAAACTATGTTCTTTAGGGTTTTATAATTCAATAATGTTTAGCAAACATCTGTAGGGCCATTAAAAATCACATTGCATTTGGTGAATCGGTCGTCATTCATTATCTCCCCGTTTCATCTTTCCTTCCCAATTGCAGCCTTTGATTGCAGGATTCAGAATGACAACATTTTCCCGATGCCTCTTGAGATTACAATGTCTTGGCCCCCCAGAGTGTAAGGAACCCTTTAATCTAGTTTCATTAGTCTAATTGGTGCTAAAATTTTATTCTTAATTCCAAACTGAAAACTTTCTTAGTACCAGATCACTTATAGATTGGCCTTAAAAAAAAAAAAAGCTATCGATCAAAGAAGTAGAGCCTCCCAACAAGAAATGGTAACAGGTGGGGGGGGGGACCAGACTGCAGGTATGCAAAGTTTTAAGGAAAGATTAAAGTTTACTCGCCATATCAAAGAAGGGAATTATTGTCAATGGAATAGCTAGAATAATTCTCGTTTGTCTCCAGGAATAAGAACAGAATGCAGAAATGGCTCCATTTCACCAAAGAGAAGAGCCCTTTTCTTCATTAGTAACCGGAATCTAAAAATCAACAGGTAATACAGGCTCAATTCAAAGTAACAGTACACCACAACAGAGATGAAACCTTCACTCGTAAAATTATAGCTCATTGTACAACAAATTGAGAAATTACCCTGTATGGAATTCTATAATTGCTTTCCTCCATAACCATAGACATTTTCATTATCTTCCTATGGAGGGTCAAATATTCTTACAACAGTTTCAGCAATAAATTGAAGTTGTAATAGTAGCTTATCATTCGCCTGAAGATTCTTACCTTATATTAAGTAGTAATCGTAGTGGGGAAACCATCAATGTTCCTGATGTGTGCCTGTGACAATGTGAGTTATCGTTCCTGATGTTCAAGTCTCAGTGAAACCTGATTCCTCAAAGACAGCACCTAGGCTGGAAGTAAAAGCTCAGAGTCTTGTATTTCTTTCTGTATACAAAAGGGTTTGCTTTGCACTTGCATACTTCAAGCAAAAATTTAAATTATAAGTCACTTTTTTTTTCAACTAAGAAAACCATGGCTCGGCCGGGCGTGGTGGCTCACGCCTGTAATCCTAGCACTTTGGGAAGGCCGAGCGGGCGGATTGCTCAGGTGAGTCTCGAAACGCCTGAGCGAGCCCGTCTCTACCGAAAAATAGAAATGAAATTAATTGAACACTAAAAATATATATACAAAATTAGCCGGGCATGGTGCGCATGCCTTGTAGTCCCCAGCTACTGGGAGGCTGAGGCAGCAGGATCGCTGAGCCACAGGAGTTTGAGGTTGCTGTGAGCCAGGCTGATGCCACGGCACTCAACCTCTAGGCCTGGCAACAAAGTGAAAGACTCTGTCTCAAAAAAAAAAAGAAAACCATGGAATTAACTGCTCAGTATTCCTGATCAAGGTGAGTGCTCTTCCAGGGATAATTCAGCGCATCTTCTAAAATCCAAATCTTTCCTGTAAGAGTTTAAATTCATTGGAGTTTTAAAAGTCAGTTTCTGTCAACATCCTCAAAATAAGCAATTCCAACAAATTTTATTTTTCTTTCTTTCTTTTTTTTTTTTTTTGAGACAGAGTCTCACTGTGTTGCCTGGGCTAGAGTGCCATGGCATCAGATTAGCTCACAGCAGCCTCAAACTCCTGGGCTCAAGCGATCCTCCTGCCTCAGCCTCCCAAGTAGCTGGGACTACAGGCATGCCCACCATGCCGGCTAATTTTTTCTATATATTTTTAGTTGGCCAATTAATTTCTATTTTTAGTAGAGTTGGGATTTTGCTCTTGCTCAGGCTGGTTTCCAACTCCTGACCTTGAGCGATCCACCCGCCTCGGCCTCCCGGAGTGCTAGGATTACAGGCGGGAGCCATGGTGCCCAGCCCCAACAAATTTTCTTGTGCGTTTCACCAGAGCACTGGCTTTGCTAGAGCTGGCTTAACAGCCCGGCAACACTTGGGGAAGGTTGTCATGTTGAGCTTCGCTTCTTGCTCGCGTGGTTCTTCCAAAAATGATACTGGTGCTTTCCATCTCCCCGCCTCCCGATGCTTGACACGCCGTTGGCAAAGTGAGAGATAAATAAACAGTAGCGAACAGGATCCAGGCCACAGTGGGAGGGTTCGCCACCGGCCGCAAAGGCTGAGTCGCATGGAATTTGCCAACATCTTGCCCATGTTAATCGGTCAAAGAGAAGACACGTTTCGCCGCTCGCGCAGGTTGAGAAGGCATTTAAGAGCACTGGTTCCCTTCCTGCTTTGTTTTTGTTTTAAAGGGTCCTTGGCAAAAAAGGAGATTTCCTTAATCCATTTTGTGTGTCTGCTGATGTATTATGGATCCAATAACCAGCAATATTCTCAATATTCTTGAAGTCAGGAACAACAACACGGTACCCATTCTCACCACTGCTATTTTTGTTCTGGAAGTGCTGGTTAGTACAACTTTAAAAAATTGGAATTAAAAAATTGAGAAAGTAGAAGGTAATATTGCCATTATGTATGCATGATATGATTGTATAGCTTAGAAAACCCCCCCAAAGAAAATTCACTCCGTGTACTATAATAAAAAACTAACACTTCCTGAGAGCCAAGGTACTGTTCTAAGTATTTTAATACTCATCACTGTATAACTATAATAATGAAAAGCTAGCATTGATGGAATACTTACCATGTGCCAAGTACTGTTTAAGTACTTTGCCACTCATATGCTATATAACCATAACAATAAAATTTTATACATACTGTTTTTATTATGTGCCAGACCCTAGCAAAATACTTTAATACTCATAACAATTGTAAGATGTTTTCAATCCTATTTGTTATATTATATGATACCATAGTTAATGATATATTACTACATATACATTTCAATAATATAGTTTATATTATACTCGTGATATATAACATTAAATTGTATATAATTTATATTATACTATATTACATTATCTATTTTAATTATATATTATAGATGATTAATATATTTTTATATTGTCTCACTTTGTTGCCTCGGCTAGAGTGCTGGCCGTGGCATTAACCTAGCTCACAGCAACCTCAAACTCCTGGGCTCAAGCAATCCTCCTGCCTCAGCCTCCCAGATAGCTGGAACTACAGGCACACGCCACCATGCCCAGCTAATTTTTTCTATTTTTAGTAGAGACGGGTTCTCGCTCTTGCTTAGACTGTTCTCGAACTCCTGAGCTCAAGCAATCCTCCCGCCTTGGCCTCTCAGAGTGCTAGGATTACAGACGTGAGCCACCATGCTCGGCCTATTATTACATATTTATATATTTTGTGTATTCTAATTATACACATATAAGGTGATAATATTACATATTAAGTTATATATAATTTATATTATACTATACATTATATCATACTTTATTATATAAATTATAGATTAATATACTATTAATATTACTACATATTTTTATATTTTGTATATTATAATTATACACATATAAGGTGATACTATTACATGTTAAATTATATATAATTTATATATTATAGTACATCATATTATATAGATTATAGATTAATAGACTATTAATACATTACTGCATATTTATACTTATATATTTTATATCAGTTTATAATTATACATGCATAACTTAATATCATATTACATGTTAAATTATATAATTTATACTATGCTACACTATGCATCTTATTTTATGATATATTATAGATTAACACTATGCTATCTTTTTATATTACTATATATTTATATTTATACAGTATATTTCATCTCAATTATACATATATAAGGTGATATTACATATTACACATTAAATCATATAAAATTTGTATTATTTTATGCCACATTATATTTTAAAATCTCACTATTTATACAGGCTGAAACCAAGGCACAGAAAGGTGTCCCTTGCTGGTGGTGGTGAACACAGTTGACTGGCCCAGCTGGGATTCCAACCCACTGCGGCCCGGAGTCCCGCTCCCCCCACTGCCCTCCCAGCCCTGCCCGAAGTCCGAGGTCCTCCTCGGCTAAGGCAGCTCCGCCTGCCCTGCTCGCTCTCCACTCTGAAGGGAGCAGCCACACTCTGCCAAGGGCCAAGAGTTGTGTGAGTGTGAGTGTGTGTAAGTAGTTTCTTAAATTCCAAATGACCCTATTTGGATTCTCCGGGCTACAGTTGGCCAGAGGGAAGAACAAGTGGCCGAGACGCAGAGCACCCGTTGGCTGGTGACACAAACAGGAGGCAGTGAGGTCAGACTCCCTCCCCCAGGGAAGTGAGGAAGGGCCACCATGCAGGACCAGGGCCGGGGCATCTGGGCCACCTTCAAGCTGAAACCAGGCGCCTGGCGGAAAAGCCAGATGGCCGGGGTGGGAGGGTGGAGCTGCCCACAGGCCAGGCAGAGAGCCGCGATGGCAGCAGGCAGCTTCCTGGGCTGCCCCTGGCTTCTCCGTTCAAGTTCCTTGGAGAACTGCCTTACTTCCCTACCTGGATTCCTCAGGGCCACCACTAAATCCCCACCCCACCCCAACACACACACACACACACACACACACACACACACACACACACATTTTGATCAAGCTACTTTGAGCAAGTCTCCATGGACTCATTCTAAAAATCACTCAGTGGGCTAGGTACAGGATAAATACACACGATCTATACCATATATACCAACGATAACCACTTATGAAATATAATCACATCATCAAGAACAATTATAAAATACCTAAGAATAACTGTAACAAGAAAAGTACAGAATTTTATTAGATAAGCACTTTAACTTTACCAAAACACATAAAAGAAAATTTGGATAAATGAAAAATCACTCCTTGTTCTTGGCTAGGAGGACTCCATATTTAAAGATGTCAATTTTCTCTAAATTAACTTCTAAGTTTAATGCAACCTCAGAGCATCCTGATTTTTTTTTAATGTGGCAAAAATTATTTTGTAGTTCATCTGGAAGAATAAATCATACAAAAGAATAGCAAATGGAATTTCAGCAATGAAGTCCGTCGGCCGTGGACTCGCCCTATCAGATACGACGCACGTTATAAATATGTCCTCGTGTGGTTCTAGTGCGGGAACAGACAAAACCTGGAAGCAACACAAGTCCAGAAAAAGGCCCAAGTTTATGAAAATGTAATACGTGATCGAAGTAAGTGGTATTTGGATGTCTTGGTCAGGATTTGTTTGGTTGTATGTAACAGAGACTCAAAAAAAAAAAAAAATCTTAAGCAAAAGGTGTCTAACAATACCCTGGAAAGAGCAAGGGTGTGTATCTGCACTTGGCTTCACTCTCCCAGACTGATTTTTTTTCTTTCCATCTGTGATAAAAACCTGTCCCACGTCTCCGAGCTTCCAGCCCCAGCCTGACGGACTGAGGAGCCAAGCGGCGGCACGCGGCTGCTCGCCTGTGCTCCGTCGCGTCACGGCGCTTTGTGCGAGCGTGGAGACGGGGAAGAGCACACGTGTGTGTGAACGTGTTTAACCGCCCTGGCTGGTGTCACTGGATGCCCCCAGGCAGGAGATGCACAGTGGCAATCTTTCTCCCCTTACCGGGCCTCGGGAGAAGGGAGGTACGGTCTCATTCCGTGGGCACACTGTCACGGGTGTGTGCAAGGGGCCCGTGCTATTGGTGTGCCTACTCCCTTCCCCGGCAGCCACTGCAGCGTGTCCGACGTGCACTCTTCCGTTTGTGTGTGTCCTGATGACACGTGCGGATTGTTTGGGGCACATTATTTCTACTTGACCTAAGTGGTTTGGTGCTATAGATCGCACTCAGTGTCTTCCCACCCAGCACTGCTTCTAAGACCTGCCCGCGTGGCCGTGCACGTGCCCAGATCGCCGGTTCCCACCTCTGCGTGTCTCCATGTGGCTGCGGGATCGGCCGGGACAGAATAGATGACGCTGCAGTGACATATGCCGCCCAGATTATAAGGATTTAAAGCCGCAAAGGCTATGTCTCGTTGGTGACCCGCGTCCATCACAGGTGGGCAGGAGGGCTCCGCTCTTGTAGTCACCCAGGGACCCGTGTCCCATCTCTGTCATCGGCAACTGCTAGGCCAGAGATAGTGAACGAAACACGCGTGGGAGTGACACACAGCTTCTGCCCACGTTTCCGTGGACAGAGTCAGTCCCGTGGCTCCACCTGAACGTAAATGGCAGGGAAGTTCAGCTCTACCACGTGACTGTACAAGGCGAAAGCTGGGACATTTGTGAGCCGTCCTTATGACGGCCACAAACCCGCAGGCTGCTTCGATTTCCCGCTTTCCCAAACAAGCCTGCGATGACAGGAGCTTGCACACGCCCCCCACAGACCCGGATGCTTGGGGATATGCAAGACGTGAGATTTTGGGGGTAGAAGAGCAGGAATTGAATTTCACTAAGGAGTTCCAGACTGTTCTCCAGAACCGCTGCACCAGTCTATGCCAAAAGTAGGCCCAAAGGCGCATATATCTAATATAACCGAGTCTCGCCAATGCTCGGCAATAACTGGCTTTTAATTTTTTTGCCAGTCAAATAAGTATAAAGCGGTAGCCGTTCTTGTTCTAAACTGTAGTTCTTTGCTTTCTAATGATTTTAGGCATTGCTTTATATGCTTATTAACCTTTTAGGTTTCCACTTCTGTAAATCATTTGCATCTTTTTCTTATTTTTTCTATTAGAATTCCTCTATTTTCCTTGTTGATTTTCAAGGTTCCTTGTAGAGATTTTTTTTTTTTTTTTTACTATATATCCTTTAGCATCTTTGGGATGTTAAATATGAATATATTCTTGTTCCCCTAGAAGAATGTTATTTTAATAGATTGCATCTCGTGTGAGTTCTTTGAGGGAAACAGTCTCAAGGAAGGAAGACAGGCCCAGCTTGAGCGGGGAGCTGTTCCTGAAACAATCAAGGGGGGAGAGGGCAGTGATAAAATGACAACTTTCATACAAACCCCAAGGCTAGAACAGAATAAACCACTTTCCCAGAAAAAGTGGGGTGGTGCTTAGGAAGCTGTTCTAGGCAGACAGAGCATTAAATGATCCCTGGCTAAGTGTTTGGTGCAAACAATAATGTCATGTGTCCATCAGGCCTCCTTTGATTGCAAATGACAAAAACTCAATTAGAAACTAATTTTTAAAAAAGGAAGGTAGTACTTCAAGTAACTCAAAAGTCCAGGGGTTAGCACAGCTAAATCAAGTAGTCAAATAATGTAACCAGATCTCCAACTTTCTCTCCATCTCTCCACCAAATTCTTTCTACCGACAGCCAAACATTCATAGCATTTTGCCTTAACTCCAGAGTCAAGAGAGTTGTTCTTTCTCAATTATTCTGGCAGGAAAAAAAAGAAAAAGAATCTGAGGGAGAAATTCTGATTGGCCCAACTTAAATCATATGCCCCTTTTGAACCAATTGGTGTGGCCATAGGGTTGGAGTAGTCTGATTGGTCAGACATGAGTCAAGGAGGGGCTCAGCTCCACCCAGATCAGGCGGGAATTGCCCTGTGGGACCAGGCGTTTTGCCGGGAGAGAGGAGAGATGCTAGACTGGCAGGACCCAGAGATGCCAGGCACAGGCCACATCCCTGCCTCACTCCTTACACCAACGTGAATTCTATATGGATCAAGGACTCAGTGGAGGAGAAAAGAAACCACAAAAGAGCTAGGATGAAACATTGGTGATGGAAAGAATTAAGGTCTTAGAAAATGCCTTTTTAGCCATTACACTAAAATCAGACACCGTAGAGAAAAAGACTGATGCACTATACTTCTGCAGCACAAACCGAACGAAACAACCACAGTCTCCATAAGCAGGATTAAGAGGGTATGGGGATGGACACGCTTGAAGCTCTGACTCTGGTGGGGCAAAGGAAATATATGTAACTTAAACATTGGTCCCCCTGTGTTATTCTGAAATTTTAAAAAAATATGATCTCTTTTGTATAAGAAATAAACATGTGTGCATATATGGAATTTATATTGATTTTTACACCAAAAAAGTCTCAAAGAGATAAAAAAAAAAAAAAATAAGAGGTTAATGACAAATTAGGGTAAAGGAATTCAGAACCTACCTGTCAGACAAAGCATTGGTATCTCATCTGGGACAAAGAGTTCTTAGAGATTAATATAAGACTTCAGCCACAATAGAAATATGAGAAAATGACATGAAAAATTCATGAAAGAATGATGTAGGAAGTGCAATAAATACATAAAAATATAAATAATAAAAATTTTAAAAGATCGCCAATTCCTAGTAGAAAAATTAGCCTACTTGGGCATGCATGGTTGGTTATAAATTTGTCCAACCTTTTGGGAAGACAGGTTGGCTCTATGTCTCAGAAAGTAAGATTGATCTGTTCATTCAGCAAATACCAACTGGGTGCTCAGTACGTGCAAGACAGTGCTATGAGCACTTGGGGAAAACTTACGAACAAGCAGCCACAGTGTCTGCCCACTTGGAAGCTACATTTCATAGGGAAAGCAAAGGTTATCACTCATGGAGGATGAGTTACCACCGTATTCAGGGCTGTAGAAAGCAGACGGTGCCCTAAGAATACGTAGCCTGAGACCTGGGTTATCCTGGAGGAAGTGTGTTTATCCTCAGATACCTCACCTAGAGGAAGTTTAACCCCACAGTGATTTGTCTAGTGAACAAACGAGTCTTAAATCTCAATATGTAGCCAACCTGTTCAAGGTCCGCTTGAACCGGTCCCTCACTTTGGGCCGCATGCATGTTGAGGGGCAGTAAGTCACAGCTTTTGAGAGCCAAGTTAAGGAGTCGGGACAGTATCCTGAGGGCAGAGGGAGGACTTTGGTAAGGGAAGGGCAGGAATAGACAAGGGTTTGCAGAAGACCCCAACAGCTCTGGAGTGGTACATGGCTTGGTGTGGGCCTAGGAAGGAAGAAGGGGTCCATGGGGAGGGTGCTGCTGGAATTGAAAAAGCAATGATGGTAATTTGTGTTAGGCAGCAGAAATGGAAAAATCTGGGAGGCCAAATAACATAGTGAGAGACTGGATATGGGGTAGGGTGAAGAGGTTGTAAGGGCCACCTTTGTAGGTCTCCAGCTCATGTCCCTGGTGGGCAGTGGTGATTTCTATTTCCTGGGACAGGGAAGTAGGCCGAGGACCAGCTTTGCTGGGTGGGTGGAGGCATCATGGATGGACACCTTGAGTTTGTTGCCTGTGAGACACCCAAACAGAAACCCAGGTAGTCAATCGCACAAGCAGGCCTGGGGCTCTGAGGACAGGCTGGCTGAGGACACACAAGCGGAGATGTGAGCCTGCATCGAATCTTACCTGAGATGCCTCCGATAAGAAGCAGCACCACTATTTACATGCCACCAAGGAAAGAAGAAACTATGACATGCCATTGATGAAGAACTCCTATTTCAGGTAAATTAAAATGTGGGAAACCGCATCTTAGCAGTGATGAAATATGACAGGATGCAAATTTGACTTCTTGTTATGAACTCAAGGGACAGGGGCACCATAGGACCGAAGTGCCCTTCTCCTCCACGCAGAAGTCTGCGAAGATCTGGTGGCCCTGCTGCATGGGGTGGCCAGGGGCCAGGTGGCTCTGCCGTGCAGGCTGTAGCTCCCACCCACAGGCCTGCCTGGCTCGTCACAACCACAGCGTTTGGTCTCAAAAGGATGCAGGGGAAGGGAGGCCATGCTCCTCTTTAAGGGCACCAGAGTTTGCTCTTGTCACTGCCTCTCACTTCCCAACGACCAGAGTTTTTTTTTTCTTTCACAGTTTTATACCTTCATTTGACACATCTGACAATCAGCGGTTAGTTCTCATCCATGTTGACTACAGATTTTTGAAAATGGTAACGGGCACGTAGGTAACCAGAGTATAGAGCGTGTTTGGTAAATCTCCATCCAATTATATTTTCTGGACAACGGCCCCAGGACATGGTACGGGACGTTCCTCATTCCGTGGGCCCCGACGGCTCTGCTGAGTCCGGTGTCCGTGCACACATCTGCAGTCCCCGTCTCCTTCATGGCAAATCTCCCGATTGTTCTGAGTGCCTGGGGGGACACACTCCTTGAAGCCCCCCCCCCACGGGGCGCCTGTGAATGCTGATGCTGTGTTCTTGAGTCACCACCTCCTTGCTGGCAGAAAGAACGGCCCTTCTTCTTCTCTCCACTCTTCTCTGCAGGAGCCATTCTG